GGAAGAAGCGAATTCATTGGACTTACTTTGATCAAATCTGTTGTCATCACAGCCGTATGCCTCCATGTGGTAAGATGGGCTAAAACGAATTTATCGTCAGCATGTTGAACATTCTCGTGAGTGGGGCCAAGAATAGAAATGAAGGAGGGGAGAAACCCGAAGAATAAAAACAAGGTCGAGCTCAAAGTGTACGTTTCAGTGGTAATTGGGTCTCAAATAATGCCAGGAAGGTATTTAGGAATGACTCACGTAATAGTTGTCTGCTTATGACGATTAATTGCATAGTTCCAGCTGAAGAATCGCACCTTCTCGTAGATTTGTTGTGGTGAAAGCGAGGGCCAGAGATGTAAAAGCTTCTCGAACATGCCGTATGGGCCGAGTTTGCTTCTTCTTGTCAGCAGCTGTCAAATCTCGAATTGCGAAGCAGTGATATACTTGATCTTCCTCAAACGGCCGTATATGCTTAGCTCATTATAGGTCATTCCCATGTCAGCCTCATCCGACTGGACATAATCTTCCGTTAATGGTTCCAGCTCGGCAGTTGGGGGCGCATCCAGAAAGCCGCGAAGCAGGCCAAGTCCAAAGTTTTCTTCTAGAGAAGCCCAAAGAATAACTAAAATGACATCAATTTTTAGCAACACTCTCCGTACAGTGCAGGAACCGCTTTAGAAGTCGGGAGCACTGAGTTCGACCTCGGGGCTAACTCTAGGTGCGCCGACTTACATCTCTTGAGGTCTGTTTTCGATATTCCACCAATGGGATTGATACTGAACCGGGGTTAGTGGGCCAGGCCAGTATGGCAGTGGATATTGCTTCGGAAGTCACTTACTCGGCTGAAGAGCAGTCGTATTTTCTGCGAGATTCTGTTAGTACCAGAACCTGAAGAACAGAAAGTAATTGAGCGATACATACGTCAGATAGCCCTGTCAGAAAGTTAGTATATTAAACATGTAGTATCTCAGATTGGGATCAGGATTAACAATGGAAGTTTGACCCTGATCCAATATTAATGATACTTTAGGGAAGGAATGAACGAACTCTAAGGCTCTCATCTACATTCGCAGATCCCAAGACTAACAGAGAACCAGGCGCTCCTGCTCGTCGTCCTCTTGCCTGAGGGAGAATTTGAGCCAAGGCGTACCCATTGATCATCCTAAGCCGCTACGGCAAAGAAAAAGTCAGCTGCTGCTATACAAAAGTTTTTGGGAGAGGAGAAGGAAGGAGACACGTCCCGAGCTTCGAAACAGAAGCCGTACTTGATACTTACTGCTTGTATATTCTGCAACATGAGGTTCTCGACCTTAGTTCCCCCTTTTCGCAGATTTGAGTCAGTGGAGGTTCTTCAAGAGTGGGTTCGTGATGTGGAAGAATATCTGAGCGAATGCTGAAGACTAGCTATGGAAGGGAAAGCACGTGCCTGACGTCTTGAACTTGGGATCAGTGCCAGTGTTTTCTGCCAGAAGTTTGACCTGTGCTTCATACACGGGATCAATATTGAATGATGTGTGATGAGCACCGATCGCAGCCGCGAGGGATTCTGCACGAGCGCGAGTTTCAGCTGATGACATTTTCTCCATGCCCATATACGCAGTCTAGAATATCGTGTCAGTCGTGTGTCAACTCATGAATAGAGGCTGTCAATATGTGCTTACGCATAAAATTCGATTAGCAACTTCCTGGGCAGTTTTAGGGATCCAGCTGCTATCAATCTCTTCTCCGGCAATTCGGTGCAGATCATCGAGGACTCGGCGGTTTCCCGACTCAATTGACTGTAAGACAAAACGGGTCATGGAATGGACTTCATTTATATCAGTCAGCGCCATGCTCGAACAGAAGATTTGGTGCGAGTGTTTCGATCTCGAGCTATTCGGTCATGGGACTTACTTATAACAGCAGTAGCGCACGAATCGATTCCACCACTGGTCTCATTGTTAGTCCAACTCTTCTGCACTTATCGGACGTTTTTATGTATTTTCCAAATGCGCATTTGCCAGCTCTACTCCCCAGCAAATACTCCTGGAATTCAAAGGACATGAGTGTCAAGCTTCTCACCTGAGAGGCAGAAAGAATCCTGCTTGATTTGATCTGCGCAAGTAATCCCACTTATATGCCGTTAGTCAGCGTGTCAGAATGTATCCAAGGCATAAATTACCAGATAGCATGCTGGACCATAAGCAATTTCCTGTTCTGGAATAAGATATTTGGCGGCCCGGGGTGTCGTAGGGCGTAGGGAGAGATCAATCTCATCTCCTTCTCGAGACAGCGACACTACAACGTTTGTCAGATCCTCTCCACCAAAGCCTGAGGGACTATTTACTCTCCACATTTATGCGTTCGTACTTTTCTTGCGCTAGAGCTTGCATTGCTCTACTCTTTTGGTCACGATATGCTCTTATGTCTTCCAAGTCAACAGTCGCAGTTATGACCTCAGTATCGTCCAGTGAGAACTGGCTGCCCTGAGCAAGAACTTTCCCGTTAAGGACGATGAGCGCGCATCCGTCGTAATACAATCGATCTCCATCGCATCCTTGTTGATTTGCATAGAGGTAAAGCCCTCCACATTTTAAGGTTGCAGAGACGATCAAATCCACTCTCGTGTGGAGCTTGCGCAATTCATGGTGGCTTCCGGAAGAATTTGTAAATATCTCACAACCATCGAGTCCCATACCGATATGAGGAGAGTTTGGAGTGAACAACTCTTCGCAGGTCTCGCAACCAATGGCAGTGTCCAGAGTAGAAATGAGTGCGTCCCCAATAGGCGCGGTTTTCTGGCCATTTATCCTTTGTATAAGGCGTGGCAATAAATGCGTCTCCACGAATCGAACGGATCTCCATGGCTGATAATTGGTGAGTCAGTACATGAGCCAAATACATGAGTAGAATATGAGAGTGTATGCATGTTACGAACGGAATGAAGATGAATGATCTGATTCTATATCACCTACTGTAAAATACCTTTGCTCATAATAATTGCCATCGCTCGCAAGAGCCAGCTTGGGTCGAATGAGTAGCTGTTGATGATTAGCATCGACATAAACTAGTGGTATGGCCAAAGTTTATCAGGTTAATAGTGTCAGGGGAATATCGAACACATACTATCTGCTTGTTGTAGATGATAATTCTGCAATTATATCTTACTGACTTCAAAGTTACAGGAATCAGCTAAGTCGCAGAATGAGCACCTGTACTAGCCAACCTTATGTTTTACAGGCATTCCCAAATCTAGAAGGATGTCTTGACACTCCGGATGATTCATGATTTGAGCGAGGGCCTCCCAAGAATGAAGTATGGTGTCATCTTCAAGAAAGTGATCTACGAACATCAGCGCCGATTTTTACTACTAAACGGCAGGAAGGATGACTGACCCAAGCATCCATATCCAGGAATCTCCAGTTCAGGACCCACTGTATCATCAAATTAGCAACGTGAATATCTCAAAAGCCTAGAAAGAGTGCAGCCGATAAGAGCTATCCCGAAACCCAGATGGTTCGATTTCGTGAATATATTACCTGGGGAGGAAGCTTTCTAAGTCGGATCCTTAAAATAAGCGTACCTCTGAGACTGGCGCCAGCCTGCTTTGCTTTGACAATGCTTTCGATGATTCGCGCCAGGTTTCCTGTGAAATCAAGTGCCCATTGATTTCTATCACGAATGAGTTAGCAATTTTCAGATCAGATTCAATGAACGTGATAGAGCACTCGAAGAGGAGAGAGAGTTTGCTCACAGAGAGCACGTGGCCACAGTTATGATGTGCCCCATGATCAAGTTTGGCGTATCTCCAAAAGTATCTGAATATCCTCAGTTGGTTTCAGAAATCAGTGCAGATTTGTACCGAAGTTGAAAGAGTGCGCGAATCTAGAAAAAAATAGGAAGAGACACAGTGGAGGTCAGTCAGTATTAGTGGGCCTACCTATGTGACGCGGGCCCATGCTTAGTAATAAAGACATTCACTCGATCAGGTCGTTTTAGACGGTCTCAGAGTGAGTGACCTACGTCTACTAGTATCTGGTCTAGATAATTACAATAAATTTCCAGCTGGAACTTTGGAAAGACAATTTATGCGCACCTGATATTACATAACTTGGAAAGGGCTTTGATTTCCTTGGAAAATCGGTCCTGATCTCGACAACCAATACCAAGATATCCCGTCGCTTGGTTTGCCCTCTTGTCATACCTAGACTTCTACAAGATACCTACCTACATTAAGTGCCACTTGGCGAAACGGCCTACATACCTAAATATTCCCAATGAGGGATTCATGCCCCAAATAAGAACATTATGAGTCCATGCACTCGAACACTCAATGGGATAGTAACAGCTCTTAAAATGTTGACCGGAGGTGCTCACATAAAGCGCAGAAAGAACAATACTTTTCCGCCACATGTCGAAGGTCGCTTTTTAAGTAGGCAGGAGATATAGTAAGCAGATACTTGAAAGAGACCAGAGGGACGAGGGCTAATAATTAGTGCATTTACAGACCGGTTTTCCGTCTCCGTCTTCCGTGCGGAGAATAAGCCACCGTACTTTTCCAAGATTACTGCATAAAACTTGTAGCAAAGCAACGGAACGGTACACAACCAGAAACATCTGGATGAAGCTGCTTGTACAAGCTGCCGTTGTACAAGCTGCTATTGGGTTTGGACTGATAAAAACTCTAACAAGAAGACAGACACATGGTGATATTTGCCGAATAAAAATAATAATCTCTAGTGTCTCCTGATTTCTAGTTATTATACATTCATCTGCTTTGACTACCTACACACCAGGATATCTTAAATTCCTCCCCCTCGGATGTAGGTGCACTGCCCGTCTCCTTTTCCAAGTTTGTTCCTAACCTGAATCATGTAGTACACATGCATAGTGCTCGGCTACACTGCATATCACCCACTCTAGACCGCTTTCCTTCTCCAAGCCAGTGCTACAGCCTCCGGATGATGTGTGTGTTGTATAAATACAAATATCTCGGACGGAACCATAGTCCTCCCTTACAAAGCGAGATCGGGCGATTGGTTTAGTGGTATAATACCTCTTTGTTCGTACCTCCTCCCCTTCCTGGGGAGCCCTTCCTAACCAAATTTAGAGCATGCGCTGGCAGACGTCAGTCGACCTAGAGGTGGTCCAGGGTTCGATTCCCTGATCGTCCATAGCTTTTGCGGTTTTTATCAGTTTTTTGGCCCGAACCATTAAAATGATCCTACAGCTTTTAAGGGCTTACTACGACAGACACAACATGAATCATGAGTACAAGCAAGTCGATCTGCTCGTTAATTTTTGCCCTCTGTTGCACGGTAATTCGATGTGTTGTCTGGTCTTGGTGCGTACCGAGAAAATGTTGGCTCGGCTAAGTACCTCGGCAATTGTGAACACAACTATGCCCTACTATTGTCCCAAGGTAGTTCTTTTTCGGAGTTTGTGCCTGAGGAGAACGTATGAAATATCGGTAGTAATTGCTTTTCTGAACTGCTTCCTTTAGGCACCCAATAAATAAACTGTGCATGTGATACAAATATAACGAAGAGGAATCATACTTCCTACTAAATCATCCCTCGCCATAGACACCGGCACGACTGTCCTCTTCTGTGACGTTCATCTGCCTGTGCACCAAATTGGTCTCCGGTGAAATTTATTTACTGTGCTTCTCACTGAGTACTCTCTCTCGTTTAATGTGTTGGAAAAGCTACATGACATTTACTCAACTAGTTTTCAACCACACGAAAATGCTATGCGACTTAACTGAATTAATTATGTAGAATCACGAAATTATCATCGGATATTATTTGAGTTGACATTCGCCTTATCTTCACGGAAACTACTTTGGACAGCCTGGATCCCCTTCGCTCAAATGACCACCAACCTCGATTCAAAGATGAATATTATAAATTTAACAAGACATGAAATCATGCGATAAATTTTGGTCACTACTGTTCGTATTTCGTCAATAGTTTTGAAAAGGTGATTCCGAATTTGCATTGTCGTGCCCATGAATCCTATCAGTTCCTATGCTCCCTGTACTACCCTTTAAACGATCCTGAGACATTGATGATCAATAACATAGCACATTACTGGAAATATAGGGGACGTTGGTGTGAATGCCGGTGTGCGTGCTTGAAAACCTTTATCCATCGTCGTAAATCATATCATGGTCAATGATAGGAGCTCCCAATAGTTGAAGAGCACTTCTCATGTAGTGAATTTACTGTAGGTATCAAAACTCTCCAGTTTCTGGGTCAGGCGCTCCCTCCCCTATAGAATTAGTCGCCCCGGTGTCCTTTCCTTGTAATCAAATACGCCAATCTCTAGAGCAAAAGAAATGTCACCTTCTGTCCTTCGACGTTGACACAATATCGATTTTGGTCGGTGGCTGGTAAGTGATGATATATAAGCGACTTTGAAGTCCCGTAGAACTTCTTGAGGACACTTGTAGGCCAGTTTGCGCCGCCGCGGCTGTCAAGAGGGCGAGAGCTCGAGAGCTCATCTATCAGCTCTTAGCTATAAAAAAGCGAGAGCGAGAGGGATATAAGAAATTCATTCACGATCCTAAAGCCTCATCTCGCCTAGTGTCTTGGCGTTCTGCACGCAAATTCTCAAGCTCACGTGCGATTTCTCACTTATCAAACACCACCACCAAAATGTCAACTTTCAGCTTCTCCTTTGGAGGAGACGACATAGAAGATGCTACGGTCACGAAGCCCGATTCGGCACCTGTAATGCCAAGTCATGCTGCCGAGACAGGAACATTACAGCGAGCTACGAGCTCAGCTTTTCCTATCGTGGGTCAGCCGTTGCTCCAGCCACAGGTACATGATCTGGAGACTATGCTGAAGGCACTACCGTCGAAAATTGTGTACAATACGCTAGTCATCAAGCTTGATGATGGATCTCATATTTCCGTTCCGAGAAGAGAGCTTTGGGATGTACGTGTTCAGCTCATGGCTGAGGAGGATGACGAGGGTTTAGGGAACCTAGGAAAAGATGATGTGAAAACAGGAGTCTATGAGGGTGGGTTCAAGAGTTGGGAGAGCTCCGTGGATGTGGTCAAAGTCTTGCATAAGAGGAAAGCCAGGGCTGGCTTATCAGGAAAGGTCCTAGAGGTATGTGTTTAGGTTCGATGTGAGAGGAGGGCTGATAAGACTAGCTGGGATGTGGTACTGCCCTTCCCTCTGTGGCTGTTTTCCAATGGTTGTTGGAAAGCTCGGATTCTACGGGAGCTCTGGATCTTGGTTTTGCGGACTATAACCCGACTGTTCTCCAACTCGTCACGTTACCAAATATCCTTCTATCTTGGGCGCAAACTGTTCGGAAAGATTCTTGGGAAGCTGAAGGCGAGCTGGACCTTGACGTAGATTTCATTGAAGACTTCCTCGCTTCTCTTGAATCACACCAAATCAGGCTATCATTCTTCTCCGGTGCATGGAGTCCAGGATTCGTCGAACTCGTCAAAGGGAGCATGAGATCAGATACGACCGGGCTGACAATCATCGGAGCTGAAACTATCTATTCACCAGCTGCGCTGCATGCATTCGCAGAAACTCTAATGAGTCTTCTTGAAGGCGTACCTGCAAATGAGAGCACATCGTTGGTGGCAGCGAAGAAGGTCTATTTTGGTGTGGGTGGATCCATGGTGGACTTCTGCGAAATGGTTCGTTTACAAGGTGGTTCTGTCAAGCAAATCAGGGAGGAGTCGGACGGAGTGAGAAGAGCTGTTGTTGAAGTCAAGATGCCATCATTGTGATGTTGTATCAGAGGCCCGACTATCTTTAACGCCAAGAAAACCGACCTGGGCCCATGCGGCTTGACCGAGGTCTTCGTTGTCAACCTTGACTGCCATCTCCGGAACACTTGCTGCTATTCGACTTGATCGTCTCCCGTTTGAAGCTATTCCGGCTTGTATCTGCTACCAGTACGGCCTTCATGTTTACAACGGACAAATCTGGTGGTGGAAGCCATACTCTACCCCGCTAACCCGCTTCCCCGCACGAGGCTGATAGCCCCCTTTTGAATTTTGCGGGGATATTGATATTGAGAGCCCTCGGCTTGGATCTCTTGAACATTGACTTACAAAATTATTGCAGAATCTGTCTTTCTGATTTCTACCTAATTCATTGCTCATGCTTTGGGAAGACACTACCATACGTGGAATAGCTGCAAATTAGAATGTCGCAGATTCATATTCAATTACTGCCATGACTATGGACCAAAGTGCGGTGGTACAGCAATTGAGGCTAGAGGAATCCCGGAATACCCCTCTCGGTCTTCAGAGACTAGAGGCTTGGTAGATAGCTTCTCCGATCAGGGCCTTAGTTGCTTCGAGAGTATAAATGAGCTTCAGCTCTCCTTCGCTACCTCTTTCTCTCGATTCACCCCACTTGTATAGATCAGTGATTATCAAAGCGAAATCACGTTGCACTGATAGTTCTCGCAGTCCAAGCATTATAAGAGCTTCCTGTCTCAATCTTTGCTGCTCACTTACCTGAAAAGTACCTACATATTCCACAAACCTTTAGCAATGGTGCAACCGTCCACTGAAGGCTACTCCCAAGGCTGGCTTGATGTACTTCTCCACTTATACTTACACTTTCTGATATCAGACTAATGTGGCCCACAGTATGAAAAGGTCCTGGGATCACGACCTCTCCTTTCCGGGAGTCCACAAGACATCATCGACCAATTCAATGGTCTGGGTGCAGCTCTCGCAGCTCAAGCTCCACCTCCAGATACCTCTGTCATTACTGAAAATACCAACGCTGACGGGGTTCCCGTCCGGATCTATACTCCTCCGTCAGCAACTGGCAAGAAGCTCCCAGTTGGTGTTTACTACCACGGAGGCGGATGGCTCGTTGGCAGCATCGATGCTGAAGATGCGTGGTGCAGAGTGATTTCCAAGAATACCCCATGCATTATCATCTCAGTCGAGTATCGTCTCACACAGACCGACAAATGGCCTGCTCAACTCGACGATAGTCTCACTGCCTTCAAATGGGTAAGTACTCCTCCCGGTTTGCAAAATGTCAGATTTACTTACAGAGATAGGCCAGAACCAACGTAACCAAATTTGGCGGTGACAGTTCCAAGATTTTCACAATTGGAGCCTCGGCAGGAGGTGGCCTTGCTCTCTCCGTTGCCGACGAGCTCATCAAAGCTGGCTCTGGCTCTCAAATCTCAGGCATTGTTGCCATGGTTCCCGTGACTGCCCATCCAGACTCTGTTCCGTCAGCCTACAAATCCCAGTACACATCTTACACTGAGAATGCCAGCGGAGTACCTATTATTGATGCTGGTACTATGAAGACGTTCTTCGAGGCCGCAGGTATCCAACCTGATAACGAGAAGGCTTTCGTGTCACTAAGCAAGAATCTGAAGGACTTCCCACCCACGTATATCAGCACTTGTGGCAAGGATCCCTTGAGAGATGATGGGAAGATTATTGAAGAGATGTTGAAGAAGGAGGGTGTGAAGACGAAGAGTGATTTCTATGACGGCGTTCCGCATTACTTCTGGTTATTTCCCGGCGTCGAGCGTGGTGAGGAGTTTTTGCTAAACGTTTGCAAGGGCGTTCAATGGGCGACCTCTCAGTAGACTGAGTCTGTTGAGGGTATTCAAGGCTTAGTCTTGCTTTTCGATGAATTGTTTTTGCAAGACAGCATATCAGCGCACACGTCTAACCATCAAAAAATGTCTGAATCTGTCTTTCAAGTACAGCTCCCTACACGCATTCGTGCCTCAGCATAGCTATTCTGCTCGGAAGTGTAATATTAGTATCTCTGACCATTTTCTCGGAAGATAAGCAAGTATGATGCTTTTCTCAAAAATATCACTTCATTCAGACTAGCTAATTGCTCCATCCAAATATAGTGTGAAAGGTAAGTCCAGTTACTTTTGCCTGGTTCAGTAAAATATTTAAGTATGTGCCATTTTCAACATCATGAGGAAAAGCTAGTTTAACATGCTTCTCGACGCTGCGATCACTCGCGCATGAGATCCAGTGCGGATTTTGGGGTCGAGGCTGTTGGGAATCTGATATGTATGGTTTCTGGAGGTGCATTGGGTATGTACTACCTGTATATTTTTAAAAGGCGCTGCGGTGCATAGTGAGGTCGGATCTGTCTGATTAAGCCATGCGTCAATATGTCAAGGCAACGCCTCA